TAATATAAATTTATAAAAATATATATTTAATATATTCTCAACTTATATATTTTTAAAATATAAGTTAAACAAATTCAAGAGTTAAATAAGTCAACAATGATTGAAAAGACTATATTATCCCTATTTCTAACTTCTTCCTCTCACTCATTCCTCCCTCTTCCTCTTTTTCTCACTGATCATCCTCCACTCACAAATTTTTTTTTTTTTTTTAAACTTAGATGAATTATTGAAAATAAGGGAAGTAGTACGTAAGAATAGATTTCAAAACTTGTATGTTTAGGCATATTTTTACAAAAAAGGATGGACACTAACCCACATGGTACCCGACACCTGACTCACAAAATTCATATACCTAGAACTTGACAAAGCAAAATTCTACTAGAATTTCCATGAAAGGATGATATTATTCAATAATATATGTAAAAATAAAAAATTCTAAAACCCATAGGATTGATACAGTTTGCTTCATCTCTTGCACCATTGCCAATGAACAACGTTATGACCTGCAACATGCAAACAAATCTTCCTTTTTCTCCACAATGTTCTCGACACCAAGCATTTACCGGTGGCTTTTTTAGCCCGTAGGTGTCCTCTTCTGGGCTTTTCTACACAGAAAGTTTGTGATTTTCAAGCAAAAATGGTTTGTTTTACCAGTTTTGTTGTTTTCAAATTTGGCCATCTCAATCCAGATTTTTCGCCAAATCAAACATCGTACGTCATTTTCCCTTTGATGACCTTTCTCCATGATCAACGTCGCAAATTAAGCGTCCTTGCATTGTCACCATCCGGGTGGAGTCTGACTTGAGTACAAGACCGAAATCTACAACCAGTTTTCTATTTCTTTGATTTAGATTAATTTGTTCTTGTGTTTGATCTGAAGAAGAATAACAGCAATAATTTGGTTTTATCTTAATTTTTCTACGTTTTTGGCGATCCCTAAGGCCCTCGATCTCCAGATCTTTTATTCCTTCCATATTCTCCACGTTCGTCAAAAGAACCCAAAGAATATCTCGGTTCTTCTAACCCACAAACCCAAACCTAGTCTCCCTCCTCCTTGTGAGCCTTATCAGTTGTTGAGTGTCTTAATTAATGAAGAAAGAGAATCGCTATAAGAAAATAAACATTTTGTAATGGAGAATTGAATAAAAAATTTACATTTTTAATTATAAATTAAATTTATATTTAAAATTTAAATTTTTATAATTAATTTTATCATCATAAAATACAAATTTTCTTATAGTGAATGGACAGAGATCTGTATCTGTGGGTTTCCTTCCAATTGGCCTAAGTCTAAAGCTCGGGATCCCCTTTAAACAGCTCCAATCTCCTCTTTACTCTCAGTCTCATTCTTTTGGTTTCTCTTCCAAGCTCCCGGTAACTAGGTCAACTCCCTCATCTGCACTCCTTTCAGTCATTTCCAGTTCACCCTTAACAATCGAGAGGCTCATTCTCTCGAATGATCGCAGTGGATGGCGACTAGGGTCTTTGAATCATGCTCAGCCCTTTTCCCCTTTCTTTTCAAATCTTCGGCAACTCTCCTTTTCTCGGCAATTGGATCGTCGATTCAGAATAGTTCCTTCCCTAGTTTGTTTTCAATACAATGAATCGATGGGAGTAGAACAGAGAAACGAAACAAATTTGTTTTCAATTTCTTGTGTCGTATTGTTTAATTGAAATTAAAATAAAATTTTTTTATTAAAATTTTAAATAATTCAATAATTTTCTTGTTAGGTTAAAAATAAAAAATTTTGAATTTGAATAACATGATATCCATGTTAAATGAGGTAAGTTATGAAAAATAATTACTTTTTTTTTTCATTACGTAAACGATTTTTTTTTTTTCATTACGTAATTGAGATAAAAAATAATAATAGTTTTTTAAATTATAAATTAAAAATTTATTAATTATTGAATCAGCTAAGTGGGACCTATATCTTGACATAAAAGGTTAACATGTGCCTTTGATTTTTTTCCACATCATCATTTTAAAAACGTGGCATTTTCACATAATTAATTTGAAGAAAAAATAAGTTCCTATCGTTAATTAACAGATCACATATATCAAAATGTAACAAAGGGATTAAAAGAAAATAAAATTTTAATTTTTAAGAATTAAAAA